GGAAAGACTGACCAGTTTCTAAAAATTAACACTGTACCTATTTTTACCTGTAGTTCTTTCTGGTGTTGTCGATGACCACGAAGATGATCTTCATTCTGCCTAATCTCATTTTCAATGGAATATAAACGTTGCTGAGATGCTGTCAATTGTGACTTTTTGTTTTCAATTTCTTTCTCCAAGTGACTTTATAAACAAAGCGATATTGAGGTATTATATATTAAACAGGTATTATTTATTACACACACACAGAAATACACAAATAAAAACTAAATGCATGACAAGACAAAGGGTAAAAATGCACTCCCCTAAAAAAAAAAATCTTAAGTTTGTTATGTATTGGATGGTTTTAACGATCAATAAAGAAACACCAAAGCTCTACAGCAGAACTCAGTTAATAACCAGCAGATAGCTGCTTGATGGTCCTAGTTCAATGCCTAGTGGATAAACCATTCATGTAACCTCTGTTAGCAATTTTTGCAAACAGGCCAAATGTTTGAACTAAACAGTGGTGTTACTTCTAAAAATTCTACTGCATCTTGAGAGAAAACAAATACTTTGACTAGGACAAAACACTTCCAGTCAGAGAGAAAATACATTAACAGAAATGTGAAAACAATATCGTATATAGTCTCATACTTCTCCTTCTACAAAGGAAGTCATGTCCAGCGATTTCCATAATAATTCTTTCAGTTTGTGATAAAACTATTTGAAATGCAAAACAAAACGATTTTTTATTACTATTTAGAGATGGCAAAACTTTGATAGTGTCTTTCACCCCTGCAAAAGAAAGGGGAAGCTTTACTAATATTACAGTAAAAAAATAATCTTAATATAAGTGTTTAATCCAACTTTTTTTATAGATGCATGAAATGGACTGATTAAGTCTGCTCCCAGAATCAGTGTTTAATAAATTGCATACACTATTCCAGATAAATGTGTCATTGCTTTAGCCTAAGTTCTGAAGTCAAGGGAGAAAGGTGGGAAGACATTTTTCCTTTTTAACTGGCCTACATCATTCCCCCATAGCAATATTGGTAATGAAGTGCCTATAACACTTTGAAAGTTACGATAATCTTTGAGTGAAGTTCATTATATACTGACATGAGCAAAGTAGAGTTAACTGACATATTTAAAACTTTTGAGTTTACAGAAACAAATTTTTAACATTCAATTCAGTCTACACTATCAGCTATTAATACTAAAATTAAAATATTTACTTAATATGTCTGTAATATAATCTGAGCCTCAAAATAAAAGTATTCTGTTGTCACCAGTTTGCTTGGTGACAGTTCAAGTTTGTAAACTTTGAAATATGTTTGGCTTTTTAAACTACCATTTTGAAAGTAATGAGAAAAAAAACCCTAAAAAATAAAATGGGGGGGGACGTCAAGTATATCAGAGATACCTACCATGAGTGAAGTCAAAAGCCTTCGCAGATGAAAAACACAGATGCAAAGTTTTAAACCAGTAGGACTACATGTGCCAACATAACTTTGGTTTGAATAATCAGGCTTCCTTTGCAGTAAACTATAATACCACTGTTCAGGTATTAGATTTTTAAAGAAAAAGCTTTGACTCCATACTCTTTTTCAGCAAGCGTAAAATAAAAAGGAAGGTAGCTAGATTTCCTGGAGTATTCAGCCCAGCAAATCCCTACTTGCTGGTCAAGATTTACATGGCACAAGCTGAAAAATATCTAGGTACAACTCAGGTATCACGGAAAGGCATTGAAATAAAGAGGTTTTCCAGAATTCTCAGAAAGGAAGCATAAATCTCAGACAGAAAATGGAGAGACTGGAGAGTAGCGTACATGCAAATAGACAAATAGGCAATTCCACTATTCATGTCAACAAGTGCACTTTTTACAAATACAACATGCTAACCTTATTTCTGCTTCAACATCTCTGCTTAGGAACTTGGGTCTGAGGTAATCAGAAGAGTAATACCGTCTTTCAAATACTTGATCGCCTTCAGCAGTGAAAGCTTCTCTACAATTTTTTGGGGGCCGATTAAACTGCATTACTTCACGAGCTTTACGGCTACTCTGAAAAATACAATGGCCTTATCACACCAATAGAAAAGCAACCATAATTAAAGATATCAGTTTAAAACTTGTCTGGAAGTTCTCACCCAGAAGTAATTTCAATTCCTAATGAGAAATAAGAAATACAGTAATGAGAGGATGTGAAAAAAAAATCTGTAATGTCAAGAATCTGCTTTTCTTAGTTGAGTAAGACATTTATGTTCTCAAAAACCACCCACTTAGTTTAGCTGCCCATTTCTTTTACTCTGTTATAAATTTATCTGCCTTTTAAGTTCCGCAGTCTCATCAGTCCCTTATAATTTGCCACGGGGAAAAAAAAAAAAATCACTAACCAAAAGGTCACTATGCACAGGTATATTTAACTATCAAAAGTGGAATACACATACAGGAAACAATCTTCCAAAGAAAGCTGTGAAGTACATCAAACAATATTCAATTAAAGTTTGGGGAAACACACTAGAAAAAAAAAAAAAACAAACAAAACATTGCCAGTGCCAGACTAAGTGGTCACAAGTGCCTTGTCAGAGGCAATCATGTTATCCATTCAGAAGTATCATTTCTTCTGCACAGTACCCATTCAACTTCTTTCAGATTCAGCTGAAATTGTTCAGGTAGGGCTCAATGACAATAACGTTATGAAAATCAGTGGTTAGGCAAGGCAGAGGAAGGGAAGAAAAAAATTAGGATTCCTGCCACGAGAAAAGCTAGAAAGTTCAGCTGTTACATATCCTGTTCAGTAACAGCCACGCTTGCTAGACAGTCAGCTCTGCACTAGACAGAGCATAAACTGCCTCTTTTCCAGTAGGAATGTCAGAGGACAAATTGGGACACGTAGTCTTGGAGAAAAACAAAATCCACAAGTAGTAAGCATCATTAGTTCTGCTGCTTATAGAAAACCCTGCTTCCTTTAAATAAAAATATATACTTCTTATTTTTATCTTTGAACATTTTACCTGTTATCTTATCTGCAGGGGCTGGTACCTTCATTAGTAACAGAAAATCAAAAAATCAATTAAGGTCAGAAATCATACAATGGCAGAAAACAGTTCTTTAGCATGTTTTTATGGTGATCAAAGATTAGATTCCTATCAAAATAGTATGTAATCTTAATTCAACACCATTTGCTAGTCACCTCATTCAAATCCTACTTAATAACTGATTATTGATTTTTTTTTTATTTTACCAGACTCTATCCACAACCATGTTTCTTTGCACTCTCTCATCTCAAATGCTTTAACACTGCAGAGTCCAAGGGGGCTCTGGTTGTTGTGGTAGGTGAAAAATAAATTAGGCTGTGAATGCTAACAGGCAGCTGATAATTTCATGTAAGAGTAGGTGGTTGAATATCTGAAAGGGAACTTTCAAACTCTCAAGCACAGGCCTGCTACAGCCACAACTGGTACCTAGCTACCAGTTGCTAGGTACAACTGGCAGGGGACTGGTTGCAAATTTTGGTAACACCTGGACTATGCAAAACTGACACATACTGAACCCACCAATTAATAAAGAGACATGAGACAAAGACAGCAGTTAGGAGGCTGATCACATGCACATGGACTATTTAGACTGGAAAACTAGACTACTTAGAGGCCCAGAAAGGTGGTGGTGAACATCCCAGAAACAAACAGGTAAGATCCTGGAAGCACATGGGGAGAGATCTGTAGAGACAAATCCCAGGGAATGCCCAGGGACCTCGGCCAGTAACAGTCCAAACAGACATCTGTGAGCAGCTGCACAGCAGGAACCGGAAAGATTTTCTGCCTGACCTTCCCGACCAACAGTGATCTCCCTCGTGGGGACAGAAGTTCAGACCTATAAAGGTAGCGTTGTTGGGGGCAGGGAAACAAGTGTGTGGAAATAAGAGTAAAAGCTCTAACCTTGCTGATCCTTAAATAAATGGCAGTATCTAAATCCGCTATGGGTTGTCAGTTTACTCTGTGTTGCCCATGATAGAAAATAGTGAATTAGGATACTGACAGTTTATTGAATGCCAAGAGGGCCTTACTGGGAGCCCTCCAGTGGAAACGTATATGTGTGTGTACTGAACTGTAACACTGACAACTGATACAGTTGGGGTCTACTGAGCCATCAGGGTCCTCACCTCTCCTCAGAGGGGCAAAAAGGAAAATAAAATAATCTTTCTCTACCTCTTTTGTCCATTACAGACACTATCAGTGAAGGTATCGTATATGCTCCATACAAAGAGAAATGCTTTTCTTTAAAGACTAATAGGGAGCGTAGAGCCTTACTTTAATCAGCAGGATTGTTTCTATACCCCTCACATCAATCAAACAATTGGCAACCACTGCATGATCTATTTCCAATGCTGTGAGAACCGATGGGAATTCTGGATGATGAACTCCTCTGAAGAAAAGAAGAAAAACCACCATTCATAAAGCTTACATGAGATTCTTTAAAATAACAAATTAAAAATAGTTCTTTTCAACTAATAATAATTTGAACCATCAAGGCTAAGCAATAAAATTCAAAACGTAACTTACCTGTGTCTAACATCATAAACTTCATTCTGAAATTTATTTACAATTATTTGAGGTCTAAATCCATGTGGATAGTATTTTGACATCAGTAGCTGAAGAGTTCTTTCATCACTATGATTATCACAGCAAAATGCCTGAACTAGGCTCTTTAAACAAGATTCAACAGCCAAGGTCAGTTCAGCATCTTTCGGATGAATGAAAGCACCTAAATAACCATAAGAGACAAGGGCTTAGGAGCTGTGTTCCACAACAAAACATCCAGTAGTGCATTTTTACCACTCAAGGTTTTTGTTTTGTTGTGTAACGTGTTTTTTTTAAGAGTAAGAAAAGTTTATTTTAGACAAGAAAAAAAAAGAATTAAGAAGTTAACTAAAAGATAAAAACCAGACAAGCTACCCTGAGAACACAGGCATATAATTTCTCTTCCCATACAGACACCTATATATATTCGGAGACCTACATTTTCTTCCAAGATCTTTGACAGGTCACTACTAACCTCCATTAAGGTACTAATTTTATGGCAGCTCAGCAGGAGTATATCAAGGCAAAGATTGCTTACCAACAATTTAATGCTTTAAGGCTGAAGGCAGAGGAACAACTATGCTGCAAGTTAAACAAACATGAAGATTTCCATTATATCACCTGTATTCAGTAGTACATGTGTTTACATGTTCTTACCTTGCCGTAAATGCCAAGTACTTAAGTACTTGGCCTTTACACTTATATCCAGAATATGCTGAAGCCATTACTCCCATCACAAACTGAAAATGGCATTCACTGTCAGAGCTGGTCAAAAAATTAATGAAACCAAAACTTTCCAAGAAAACCTCAACTGTCCTGTCTGAGTTGCTCCATGCAAAACATCTCAAGTTTGACAAGCCCACAAGTCAGCCACTGGATATTTTGAACAAAATCTGTCCAAGAGCTGGACAGTGCTATCCATCAAGGAACAAGCAGCCAAAGCACAGTAGTCTGATGCTTAGAGGGTGTGGGGGAGTTGGAGGGGTGGATTGAAAGTTTACCATTGTAACTACATAAAATATCTTAAAAAAAAAACCAGCTAGAAAATGAGGAAAAACAGTTGATGTTAGCTAGTTCATGTGATAAAAAGGACAGAAGCAAAAGATAACCTACCAGGATAAAACCTTAGTCCAGGAAGTACAGAAGAAGGATATATCTGAAGCTCCCTAAAGAACAAAGAGTTTTTCTAAAAGATCGCTGGAAATATTCTAAAGGCTGTCTTTTTCAGCAGTCATTCTTACCTAAAGGTCCAACAGGTTTGTGTTTAAAGCGCCCTTGCTTATAGGCTGTTTCAACAGCTTCAAGAAATGCTGGTGTATGTTGTCCAAATCTTTTCAAGGTATTTGTTTTACTATCTTTCAGCTCTCTCAGCTGTTTCTGCTTGGCATCCAGTGCTTGTTTCACATCACAATCTTCTCTCCTAAGAGAACAGAATTTTTTTCAGTAGCAACAGCTTATGAAGCCTTAATTTGATTAAAATAATTATAAAGTCTCATTTTTCAAGTACTAATAGGACAGTGTATCAAGACCTCAATATTTCAATGTACAGCTAGCTACACACATGCAACAAAAAAGCAAGCAAGAAAATTACTACTTTGCAACAGTTTTACAAGACTTATTTCTAACAATTTATAATCCCCTACGGTAATCATTGTTGAAGTTCAGGTTTCCAAATCAAAGCCAAAGAGTGGGGTTTTTTTCTAGTTCGGGTATGGGCTAAATTTGAACCACTTGCTTCAAAGTCTCTATAAATTTGCCTTTAACTATAGATACAATAATTACCCCTAAGTGTATCTATTTCCTTATATCATGTTATATATCTTGTGACATCATATCAGGATGTAGTAGTGTATTAAACAACATGAAAAAATTTAAGTCATAGTCTGCCCATAGGATGATAAGAGAATAAGGGACAGATGGTGTGAGGAAGAAAGAAGGGCATTAAACTGACAGTACGGATTTATATCAGGCTTTAAATTAGTAATACCTTTCACCTTTAATGACAAAACAGTTTTCTTAATTTTCCAAAAGTTTTTAAATTAAGTCACATTGTGCCAAAGACAAAAGTTTAGCAAGTTCTAAGATAAACTAGGAAAAAAAACCAGAAACTGAAGCCTAAAACCTCAGGGAATGCAGGTACATGAGAAGGGACCTCTTATAACTTGAAACAAAGGAAAACAGTTACATTCAAAAGCATAACTTACCTAAGTCTAGCATGTTCTTCCTTACACTTATAAATAGCCTGCTGAAACTGATCCACCTGTTGACCAATCATCATTTCTTCATCATGGAATGCCTTTAACTGTTCCCTTAAGTGTGCAATTTTCCTTTGTCTTTCCAATTTTTCAGGCTCTGAAACCTGATTAGCACTAGAAAAGATCATACTTCAATATTTTAAAACCACACTGATGATTTATAAGTGACACAAACTTTGTTTTATTATGTGTATCATACAAAAAATTTATGCATCAGAAAGTTATATTTAAGATTCTGTGCATTTACAAGACCTACCAAGTGTAAATATATTTTTTTTTTTTTATTTGTAATCACACATAACTCTCCCAGTTACGTTCCTATTACATTTACTTTAAGGTATATTTGTTTTGCAACACCATGGAAGCTAGAAAACGTATATTATCACCAACAAAGAAGAAAAGCTTTTTTTCTGCACAGTCACCTCATCACCTTCTAGTCAAAATCTTGGTATGCAAAGAAGCAGGATCAGAAATATTTAAATATTTAACTGGACCCTGCCTAAATTTAAATAAATATTTTCTGTACTGCAGATTTTCTCACTAATCAGAAGAGCTCACTCCCTGCATACCTATACTTTAATAAACATACACTGTAATCACTATATCTGTATTACCTGCTTTTCAGTTCTTCAATTCGTTTATGTAGCTGTTCATCATCTTTTCCCAGACGTTTTAACTCAGTTTTGAAACGATTATAAAGTACCTATGAAGGAAATAGGATACAGTACTTTAATAAACAGAAGCAAAAAATAATTTCAAGAAGAACTACAGTTTTGAGAAAATGAACATTGAACTGCAACAAAACAGACAAACATAACTTGAATTTCAAGAACGTGAAAAAGAAGTAATAGCACAGTTAACTTGAATGATATTTCTTTTGACCTAAGCTTAACACTGCTTAACACCTGTGTAAAGATATAAACCCTATGGCCCGCGAACAGAAACTACTTGCATGTCCAGCAGGAAATTACACCTATTTTGAACTGCACTATCGATTCAGGGAGCCTAGACTCAGATGGAGAAGTACATATGGGTAGTACACGGACAAGATCAAAGCTTTAAATTGGTATGAACTTCTAAAGTTCTTTTTGCCTACCTCAGCTTCATTGACTGCTTTTCTTCTTGCCTGCACATCAGCCTTCAAAGAGATACACTGAGGATGCAGGGCTTGTGCTTCTTCATTTATTGTTATCAACTTGTCTTGTATTGCTTTGTACTTTTCTTCTGCTTCATTCACTTTTACCTTTGGTGCAAAAAGAGAATGATACACAAGTAGTAATGAAGCAAAATTTTCTTCAAAACATCTTAATGCTACAGAAGGTATCTCTTTCAAAAGAATCCATCTAACATGTCTCATTTGCTTTTTTTTTGTTAAAAAAAATAAACCAAGTCATTGCCACTATGGATATGCTAAGATGAAAATTAATAAAGGAAAATACTCAGGAAATCAACCGACTACCAAATCTGGGAAGTAAACAGCAACCTTCTTTTCTAACTCATGCTTTACTCAAACACAGGACTCTTACTGTAATAAGGCCGAGATTCATGATATGGAAAGAAGTGAAACCAGTATCTGGACAACGTTCCTTCAACATTACACAGACATGTTCAGCCATAAAGTAAAAACACCTCAAATGTAAAACAAACACATATTACTTTTTTTTTTTAAACATTAAAAAAAAAAATCAATGAAAAATGAGTGCCAATTCAGAAAGTTTGGTGAAGGAGTTTTAATAGACTGAAAAATTCAAAATAATGATGCCTATCTCTGCAAAAGATATATTTCATATGTGAATCTGAATGTTCGGCAAAATTATTCTTTCTGGCTACCTACAGAAGTCTTCAGTACCATGCAAAGAGTCTGTTAAATATCCAGATGTCTCCTGAAATCAGACACTGATCTTTTCTACAGGCAATGATACCCAAGGAAACCTACATGACAGATCTCTGAAAGATGCTCCAACATTACAGAAATAGGCACCAAGTAAGTACTCTCAACAATAAAACAGTTTAAATTACTGTTCGCTGGTATATGCAATGCTAGTCATCTCAAATTCCCAGTCAAAATAATATAACCCTTACCTGAAACAAAAGTATCAGCATGAAAACCACACCTCCCCCCTCACTAAACAACAGAAAACAACATGTCCTGATATTATTATCCAATGAAATATGGCATGCAAATGTTACTGTTAAGTTTTAGAAGGCTAAAAAGGTGTATAAATGGGAATGTTCTTAGCTGCTTGTGAAAAGCTAAGATGGCCAGTTTCAATAGCTTACAAGCTAAAGGACAATCATAGTTTAAGTATCATTTTTATTCTTGAGTCAAGGAGCCAAAACTAGAGTGACAGATGGTTTAAACCATATATGTACCTGGCATTCTTCTAGCTTCTGAACAAACTTCTCTGTATTTCCTTCTTCAGCTCTGATGCCTTCTTTGATTGGCTGTATTTCTTTTTCCATCTCGCCCACCTAAATAGTGGCATACATTAGCATATATCAGAATGTCTGCAGCAGATTGGGAATAATCTGAAGTACGTTTCATATGAGGAAACATATTTTAACAAGACATTTACCACTGCCCATGCCATTTTATGTTTCAAATCTTCAAGATGATTTCGCATCTCATTCACAAACCCAATGCTTTTGTAACGTTCCTTTTTCTCACAATAAAGCAGCTTAAGTTCTTCAAGACGCTTAAAAAAAAGAAAAAGAGAGGTTCAATCGTGAGTGCAAAAAGCTGTGATATAATATGAAATCTTGGAAAGATTTTTTTTTTTTAAATTTAATGTCACTGAGACCTAATCAAATCAAAACTATGCAGCTTAACTCCTATAGTTATTCCAGTGCTCAGATCTGTACTAATAATTACTTTTACATACCTGTACTCCTTGTTCTATCTGAATACAAGTATTTTCTTTCGTTTTCATAATAGATGAATAATCTTCTTTCATTTGTTCCAGCTGAGTTGCCTTCATAAAAAACTAAAAAGAAATAAAAAGATGCAGATGTCAGATTCAACAGCTTATCTAAGTGAACTTTAAATAATTACCATACAAAGACCACTCATCCCAACGTCTATGCATGCTGAATGATACCCAAAGTAAAATAACTGGTGGGGTATTTTTGAATAATGAACTAACTCAGTAGTGTCCTAAATTTTTTTTAAATTTCTCAATGTCTTCAGAGAAAAGAAACTTCAAAAAATTTCTTTTTGCAAGTGGATGACTGCTACAATCAGATAGTGTACTGGGTCTGGCTGGGATGGAATTAAGTTTCTTCATAGCAACTATTATGGTGCTGTGTTTTAGATGTGTGACCAAAACAATGCTGATAACACACTAATGTTTTAGTTGTTGCTGAACAGTGTTGGTATAGCACTAAGGCCGCCTCTGTTTCTCACTCTGCCCTCCCAGTGAATAGACTGGCGGGGTGTGCAAGAGGTTGGGAGGGGATACAACCAGGTAGATGACCCCAACTAACCAAAGAGATATTCCACCCCAAAAAACGTCATTGTTGTGGTTTAACCCCAGCTGGCAACTAAGCCCCACACAGCCGCTCGCTCACTCCCCCCCATAGTGGGATTTTTTTTTCGGAAGAGTAAAAGGGAGAAAACTCATAGGTTGAGACAAAGACAATTTAATAGGGAAAGCAAAAGCCATGCACGCAAGCAAAGCAAAATAAGGAATTCATTCCCTACTTCCCATATGCAGGCAGGTGTTCAGCCACCTCCAGGAAAGCAGCGCTCCATCACGCGTAACGGTGACTTGGGAAGACAAACGCCATCACTCTGAACGTCCCCCCCTTCCTTCTTCTTCCCCCAGCTTTATATGCTGAGCATGACGTCATATGGTATGGAATATCCCGTTGGTCAGTTGGGGTCAGCTGTCCCTGCTGTGTCCCCTCCCAGCTTCTTGTGCACCCCCAGTCTACTTGCTGGTGGGGTGAGGAGCAGCAAAGGCCTTGACTCTGTGTAAGCACTGCTCAGCAGTAACGAAAACATCCCTGTGTAATCAACACTGTTTCCAGCACAAATCCAAAACATAGCCCCTTACTAGCTACTGTGAAGAAAATTAACTCTATCCCAGTAAAAACCAGCACAGCCATCCTCAGCAATAAAAAGGGAGAGGAGAGAATTTGGGGGAGGGGGAGGTAGCCATCTTTTGCTCAGGAACTGGTTGGGCATCGGTCTACCTATGGGAGATGGCGAGCAATTGCCTTTGCATCCCTTGTTTTGTTTTGCTTGCTTTCTCTCTTCTTCCAGCTTTTCCTTTCTTTTTTAAACAATTTTTATCTCAACCCACAATTTTTTTTGCTTTTACTCTTCCTTTCCCCTTTCCCCATCCCAAGCAGGGTGTAGCAGGGAAGGGAAGTAAGCAAGTGGCTGTGTGGTGCTTAGCTGCTTACCTGAGTTAACCCACAACAGGTCATTACAATTAAGAATTCTGATTTTTTTTTTTCCTCCAAATGCCACCTCTAAAAATTTGAAATCAGTATTTTAATGTTTAATCAAAATGTTAAATAATTTTTCTTACCTTATACTTGTCACCTTCATTCTTAGACTGTAAGAAGTGCTTACTCATCTCTTGGGTTAAAATAGACACAGGATTATCTACCTGTAACAATAAATTACTTTCTTTTTATTTTAAGTTAAAAAGTTCTCATGTAACTGCATATCCATGAAACTGAGCAAACCACCTCCCTGTTCCACGCCCCACAATTCAGTAATAAACTGAGAGAAGCAGATCCAGAAATTAAGATTTCTACTACCCTCACCTCTTTTTTTTTTTTTAAACAAAACAAAAAAAACCCACAACAACAAACAAAAAATTTAAAAAATCCAACTCCATCAAGTACAAATTAGAACTGCAACAAGGACAACTAAGGAACTGTTTCCAGGAGGATAACTGACTTTAGAAAGACAGTGCCTGTTTTTTCCATTTATTTAACAAGATCAGCATTACGAATTTTGTCCAATGCTGTTTAATTTCTCATTATTTAATTGATTGAAGTATTGCATTTAATGCAATGAATTGCCTCATATCTTCTCACTGAAGTTTCCACAAAATAAAATCAATGGATACTAACAGAAATTTATATTATTTGAAAGGCTGAATATGTTGAATATTTTAAACTTCACGTGCAGTACCTGATCTTTCCTAAGCACACTCAAATTTCAGGAAAAACTGAAATAATGAGCAGAAAAAAAGCGCTCCAGGTATGAAAGAAACCTACATATGCTAAGACTTTCATTAACAGGATACATGACCCATGGCTCACAGATCATACCAAATACTTATCTGTCTGGGACAGAATCTCATTCTGCATTGTATGAGGTATAAATTTCAATTTTCTTTTGCCATTGCATTAGATCTTGAAAGAACACGGAAGAGGTGAACCTCTCTCATTTAACGAAATGGAATATTGCTTTTTAATTGAAGAATTATAACATCACATGCTGATGTCTTAAATTGCACAGAATTTAAACACTATAACAATTACCTGTATGTTAAAGTGATCCAGTATTCCTATGAGTTCCTCTTTCTTTGAAGAAATTAAGGTCCCTAATGGTAAAAAAAAGAAAGAAAAAAATACCAATAGGTCCAAAGCAAAGAGACATAAAATGCCTTAGCCTTTTGTTCAATCTAGTGGTTCTTAGTAAATATAAAAACTGAGATTAGTATTTTTGTAACGCAGATTTAGTCCTAAATGAGAAACACTGTTTTTTGCGTTTTTTAATCTTTCCAACATATTTGCATTTCTACACAAAGTCCCTCCTTGCCTCATAAACTCTGACAGAATTTAGGTAAATCAGCAAATTCAACAAAAACTCAAAAAGACTAAAAACTATGTTCAGCCTCATCACACAGCCTCATAAAGACAAATACTGTATGACCTCACATCACGCAGAACCTGACACAACGGCTTTTGACATGCTAAAATATTCTTAGTCTAAGGTAAACACAAAAAAATGGACATCATCATCCTTGAACGATGAATGAACTAACACCAAGGCATTTTACTAACATCAAGGCATTTAAAGCAATGAAAACATTTAAAGAGTTTCTAAGACTGAGAACAAAACAAATTACCACCAACCAGATTTGCTTTTCAGTCTATAACTTCTGCTTCCATCCAGATTAATGTGCTGATTCACAATAATAGAGGCACCATACACTTCTGGCTTAAATGCATCTCGACCTTGGTTTCGCAATGTTATGGAAATATCTGCAGAACTAAAAAAATACAAATAATAAAAAAGACAACTGAAATTAGTTCAAAATCTTAAAAAAAAAATCACAACATTCTAATTTTCCACAAAAATTGTCAGGTCTTGTACAGGTCACGACTGGAAGTCACTCATAGTGCCAAACGGAACAACATATATTTCTGTGGTTTGAGCCAAAACAGCCTCGGAGACACACAGCCAGAAAGACTGCCATACATGGACCTGTTTGCACCTTCTATGCTTCAGATAAATCATGAGCCAAAAGCAAGTAGTTGTGAGAGCAGATTTCCCCCACCTTCCTTCCCATCTGAGTGTCCCATCTTTAGGTTGCAGAATCAAGTTGCTTTTTTGTTCTCCCGTCCCCAAACTGACTTCTGTAGAAAACAATTGCTTAGCTTCTACAGCCATCCCTAACCAAAGTAATCTATATTCAGTTCTGAATTCAGATTTTCTATTTCTCAAGTGAATGCTGAAACATTAAGTTATTATACATAAGGCAGGTACTGCCAACAATTTTACTCCAAGCACCTCTGAAAGGAAAAGCCTGGGGCTCTGAGTTACAGCTTTATGTAAATGTAAACTTTTAAACCTCCTCTCCTATCTTTGTATTGATTCCCCTAAACGTGTTATCCCCACTCTTATAGCAGACATGAATCCACTTCCTGCATGTTTAATAATCCACCTATATGTCAAGGTCTTTATATTGTATATTCATTCATTCAGTCAGAGAGACAGAAAAATAATGAATCTCACTGGTCGCAGGACAATGATAACTGGTTTCCTATGAATTTTTTCTAATGAACTCAATTCTTCTGTAGGATATTCAAGTATATCATGGAAGTAATACACAAGAACTGGGCAATATGTAGACACATCATTATGTTAGCTAGTTCAGAGATAATGGTATACTACTAGTAAGTTACTGGTAAAATTTCTAATGTGGTTTTTGTTTGTAGTTTGGGGTTTTTTTGTTTAAATATGGTCTCTTCAGTCTTATGCTTTTTATACAAATCTGGTAGATCCAATAAGAGAACAGAGAAAACGAAGGTGAACAGAAAACTGATCAGCTAACTTGAATCACAATCACTAAAGAGCATGTTCAACCTTAAAACTAAAATAGTTTTACTTACGTCTCTCCATCTCGTACAAACATTTTTAACGAGGAACCTCTATTAGTTGCAGTGGCTTTTCCACCAAGTCCAACAATAAGAGCAGTTAATACAGAACTTTTTCCACCTATAATAGAAGCATTGAACTTTTTTTAAACAGAAGTTCTTATAACTCTTTATCCCGTTCACCCATATTACAGATTTTTGTTTGACTGCTTATATATTCATGCACCTAAAGTCCAAATTCTGTCTTTATTGAACAGACATACAAAATAGCGATAACTCTAGAAAAACATCTGCCACTTCCCAAGGTTCTCCCTAAAAAAAAAAAAAACCCCAAACATGCTGAGCCAAACTTCTGTTACTTCTATTCAGCAATTTGCATTCAACAAGATGTCCTGTCTCAGGAGGGAAGAATCTCCTCTTCCTTACAAGCATACAGAAAACATGTATACAGCAAAAGAAATCAAACACCCATTATCATTTATATAACTATCTGAAAGGTTTTAAGCTCTCTTTCAAAATTTACGTTTAATCTTTGAAATTCTCTTTCCAAAAGAAGTGAACTTGCATAAATAAGTATCATTTCCTTCTCCCATAATATTTTCTGCATGACATATACTTGGACAATTACTGTGCATTTAATAATAAGTACATTTAGTTTAAATATAAATTTATGTATGATTTAGCTATGAAAAGTTTTATATTCACATTATCTTTTGCAAATCTCCGAATTTAAGACCTAACCTTTTCACCAGCCTTGAACTACTGGGATAGGCCTGTGTGGCTCCCAAGTCCAAAACTGATTTTGCCTCCAATCCTAAAAGATGGCTAGCAATTCTTTTTCAAATAAAAATTACATATTCTAAATTATTAACAAAAGTGTTCTTTGACAAAGAAATGATGCAAGTAATACTTACTTCCATTGTTTCCAACAACAAAATTGAGATTTGATCCAAACTGAAAAGGCCCCAACATCGAATGGCACATGAAGTTCTTCAGCTGGATACTTTCAATTATCCCAACTTCCCCTACACTCTAAAGAATTAAGACTGCTGTTATGTATGCATTTTAATGAGATACAGTTTATCTATTTTAAATATAATGAGAATTCAGAAAACAGTATGATATAAAACATCGATAGTTACAAACTACAAGAAAATCAGAAGAGTTTCATGACACTATGAAAAGTTGCTTGCTACAGACCAGTTACGTAATAAAGTAAGAGGAAAACAGTTACCAAAGCTGATCACTCACCCATAGTAACCTTCAGTTCTCCCCATAACTGACTTATAATTAACACAATATAAAAGATTAAGATCATCGATTCTATACAGTTGTCAGAGCAGTAATAAAGACCATCACAGAAAGACTTTTGTTACTTGAATAATACCATTTGTGAGAATTCTTAGCACAGCTTAGAAGGAGGGAAATTAAATTTGACCAGGAAGGAGGAAATAAAACTAGAAATGGGACAGCCCACTCACTGTTCAACTGCTGAAGTATTGTTTTGACAAGAAACTTTAGTTTTATCACTAGTGCTTCAGAAAAGCAATGTTTTCTAAGAAAGCAAAGGCCTCAGGAAAAATAAACAAGTCAATGACACAGAACAGCTGCTGTTCAAAAAAAATGCAGTGAGGAATAATGCTTCTGTGTACCAAAAATCAACCACGGTATCTCATAATACACAAGACACTATCTGCGATCTCAGAAATTGTTTTTTAAAAATCTTCCATCAAATCAGAATTCAGCTATTACAGAAAAGCAGAAAAAAAATGGTATTCCTGTTTTCAAGTTTCATTTCCATCAAAATATACATTTCAAACACTAGATTTTTTTAGTCATTTGAAAGTGTCAGCTGTGCAAAACAAACAAGTATTTGGTGCTTCTTTTAGTAAATAATTTGTTTTCTAAATATTTTCTCTGCTTTTACTACAACCATAAACCAAATATACCATACTTCTATCAAACAAAACCTGTTTCCTTTATTTGGTTATTTGACAACTTCAGTAGTATTCATTCTATAAAACCAGAATACTGTTATTTTATGATCAACTGTTACAAGTAACTACATGACCCAAAAGACATAAGGTAAGAACCAACTCATGCAGAAATCCTCATCACAGACATTACCTCTAGTTTCTTTTATATTGGTTCCACTGAAGCCTACATGCAAGACATTTATTTCAATGTCAACCAAAAGCACAGAACTTTTTTATATCAACTTTTTCTTACATCCCCCCTGCCCCCAACTTTTTAAGCAACTTACCGACAGCAAAGAGAAATTACTATCAGCTGATGACTGTGAATTTTCTTCTTCATTAGACTCATCGCTGTGTTCATCTGTGTATTCTTGTCTCTGTCTTTTGTGGGATCCAGGCTTCGAAATACTTTCTTCCTTTCTCTTACCCATGAGTACTGAAAAATGAAAGCAATGAAAGATTGTAGGTTTCAGTCTTCTAGATGAAAACATACCTACAGATGATAGCACAGACACATCAATTTATTTACTTTTGTAAAAGAAATAGTAAGATCATAGCAAACATTGCAACAAACAAATAATCTTGCAGAACTGAAATCTCAGTGAATTTAAGCCTAAGCTTATTACGAAGAAGTCGTATTAGAACAAAAGAAAGACAACTTCACTATTCTAATCAAGCTGAATTTATTTGTTGATTAACAACAAAATCAACCTTGATTCTGTTTTTCTTAGTACATTAGACATTGGGATATTTGCTAGAATTGTTTTTGGTTAGTGATGGAGTTGAAGATGAAGTTGTAAAATGTACATAACTGTCATAGTATGATCAGCAGCATCAATGCAGGTTTGATTAGTGAGCTGCGCAGCCAAAAAGAGAAAGTATTAATTATATGTTGTTGACAAATGCCTAGAATAGTAATATGCAGAACACATAAAAGTACAATAAAGGAAAATTTAGAGTCATAGCACTGTTCCTGTGCTGTTTCTTGCATGCAGCCACCCTGCTTTTGTAAGGCAGCGTAATGTGACCACAGTAAACAAAATGCTGTTATTTTACTAATGAAGGATAACAATTCTCTAATATAGAGAACATATGTATATATTTCCTCTACGAATGACTAAATAATGCACAGACTTCCCGCACTAATGACTGGTCAGAAATGAATCTTGCAAAAGTAACAAGATCTACTAAAGTCACATAAAACTGAAGGAGCAGGCATCAAGATTAGTCAAAATCTCACATTTTCTGTAACTGTACCCTTAGGGCATGGTTTTTATTCCCTCAAAAGTACATATTACATTCTTCACACCTAGAGTCCCAAAGCACTACACAAAACATGGGAGTTCACATACTTTTGCCCAAGGTAGAAGCAAGTCCTGTTTATACAAAGGCAATGCACAATATTTTTATTTGCCAGTAGTTCAGTCACTTCCTGGTAAGTGTCCAAAACAGGCTAAAACTGACATCAGCTGCATAGTTTTCTGATGTAAAAAAATTTCTGAAATGGAGTATGTTCTCATACTCAGACAACTTTGTTTACTAGAATTTAACCTAGAGCTCCCTTCTAGGAAAGATGGCAACCAACTTAAATGCATCTCACCAGTTCGAGCAAAATTCAGAGGCATTAAATATAATTAATATCCACTGCTGTACAAAAATCACTGCATGACACGTGGCCTAAGAGTAGGCTGAGTTTATTTACAAAAATAAATAAATAGTAATAATTTTTTTTTAAAAAATGCCATGGGGTGCAGGAAAGGAAAGAATGACCAGCATTAGAGACATTGTATGTCCAAAGTTGATACCATGTGTCATGGTTTGAGACCAAATTGACTGTGTGGAGACTAAACACACTGGGGGCTTGGATACCAGAACGCTTCTAGTCACAGATACATTTAACGATAACGAGTGACCACTTTTTGTCCCACAGGACAGAAGGGACAATCCAGGAGAGAATGTAGCAGGTCAGAATAACAGTTCCTAGCAAGATCTCCTGTGTGCTGCAGGGGAGATGACACAGTCCATGAGAAAGCTGGGTGGATCAGCACAGCGGTTCCAGCGGTGCAATGCACAGCCTCAGGGCCCCATGGGGCCCCCTCGTTAAGGCCCTCGGGCCCTCCCAGAGCTTCTCTGTGGGTCTTGCTCCACATTCTCTCTTTAAATGTTTTAAGATTAATAACTTGAAGAATCTAGACAGAAATCAATGAAATCAAGACTATTAAATTACAACTTTAGTCATAAGAACTAGCACTGCAACGGAGAGGAGCAGTCTTTCCTCCCTCTGCCTCTTCTGTTTCTGTCTCATCCCCCTGAGTTCAAGCAGCTCTTTACACAGCAGAATAATAAACTGTCTCAAGGCACTGATTCTACTGAAATTAATGCAGGAAAAAGCTTTTTTCTTCTTAAATGAGATAAGTTCCCCAACCATTTCACCATGCAGATCTGTACATTTGGGTAATTGTCGAGAGAGAGAGTACTTCTTTGAGCAGCTTCTTTTACTTGTGTCAGCTTAATGTTCTGGTCAAACTACAGCCTGATTCCAACTGACGGAAGGTCAGATAGCTCATACGACCAAGGATCACAGACAATAGCATTTCTTACATGAAACACCACAGACACTAAATTTGTTACATCATTACAAAGAGTATTTAATTTCTATTCTAGATATTTGTTGACTGTTTTATAAAATACAGTGTCTAATAATTCCCTCATTAATTTTCTTTGACACAGCATCTAAATGATAAAGAAAAAATAATATGCATCTCTTTCGACTAAGTGCAATGAACAAAATTCAAAGCAAGTGCAGAAATGCAATAAAATTCCCACCAGACATTCTTGCAATAATTTTGTATGGCAGGGATTTCAGATCAAACACTGGATTATTATTATTATGTCCACTAACTATTTACAGGGAATATGTCACTTCCATTTTATATTATATAGTTTAATACCATATACATAGAAACCAAGGAGCAAATACACTTCATGATTCAGTTACATACCTTTTGCTAAGCTACTTTCAGTTTCCTACATAAACATGTCTTTATGCTTAAATTACTCAGACCAGGAAAGAGTCGCTTGTGTGCTCTTGGAATTTATTCATCACCCAAGTATGAAGACAAGCATTCATTTGATCTGTTGTTCCATTGAAATCGCTCTCTAGAAAGAAAGGAAAACACAAGATTTAAATGTTGCAATTATTAATGTCCAAACTAAAGATCAGGGCTATGAGTTCCACCGCTATAACATTTGGACATTTAAGAAAAAGGGAGTGTAAGAGTGGAAAACAGAACAAAATAACATAGAAGGTTAGAACCTAGAAGAAAACTCACTCATGTAATCTATGTGTGACAAAGGCAAGGGACAGAATAGTCTGCACCCCAGAACTTTTGAAGACCTAGTACTGCAAACAAAACTTAACTGGAACTGCAAGCAAACTTTATTAAAGTAGCCTCAGAAATTATTATGACAAGTACCAGTGGATGTAATACCTACACTGAGGACAAAAAAGCTGGAAGGAAAGAGAAACTGACTGCAGCAACAAGGAATCCACTAATAAGACGTCACAAGAAACAAAGCTTTAAAAGCTAAAGGAAGAAATAATCCACATTAAAAAAAAATAAAACACCCACAGAAAACGACACATACATTTGAATTTTAACTTTAGATTATCTTGACATTTTTGACAGAAAAAGCTCCTTTTTTTACATTAATTGCTCCCAAAACACTTGCACCAAGGCACTCCTAATTTTCTTCATTAAGTTTTTAATTGAAAAAATAGTTGATTTCAGTCTCAGCACCACTTACGATGACTTTAACAACAGTTTGGGAATAACTATTCAAGGCAAAGGAAAAGCAGCCAATCTGATCTATCTGAAGATTATTAAAATGTGCAATACTATATCGGAAACAATTAAACTGACAAAAACATACATTAGTACAAGTATTTGAAGATATGTAATAGACTAACGGGAAGCCAACAATGGACACTATTGACAAATGTTAACAGAAGGGTTTTTTAATGGCCCAGGCATCATATTTAAAAACTGAAGTCTAAATTTATGTTTATATTGCAATATAAAGTAGGACTATGTTAATGGAAACTTGTGATGACAGAGTCAGGAACATCAATAATTCAAATGAGAACCTGACTGTTATTCAGAAAGACAAAACAAAAGTACTGATTTAATAGAGAAAATGAACTTTACTATCATTGAACATAAGAGCATACAGTTAGGAGTAAAAACTGGAGCTATAAATTGGGAACAAATAAGGGCAAGACAAATCCAATTATAAAAACATCACAGGATCACTACAAATTATTACAAGTAATTGTCATGCATGTAATGAGAGCACAAAAGAAAAACACAATCCCCAGATGTGCTGTATAAAACTACTAGGACTATTACACATTGTAGTGGAAAAGCGTTTACCCTGTTAATGTCAAAGTATAGGAAAACAGAGGCTGCATCCACTGGAAGTAACATGTGCTGATGCCCACCCATGTTCCAACTTAACCAATGGCATCCCTTTCCAGTTTCCATTGCAATGCAGTTCTACAACTGTTTTCTCCTTCCCCTACCCGGCTAGTCACAGTCGGCCTCATCCAGAGCAGACACAACCAACCTACTGCCACCAAAACCACTCCACTGGTTTTCTAGCAGCTGTGTTGGCCTGGTGTCCATGTAAGGTAGGAAGCAGCTGCCGCTGACATCCACTTTAACCACTCTGCACCCAGACCAGTTACAACCCTGATTGCCTTTCGTCCAGTTAGCAAAACAGAGAAAAGACATCAGAGCAGACCTACAGCGGGATGAATGCAAGATATGGGAGGAAGCATGGGGTGGGAGAAGAGGAAGAAAAGAGTTGCGGTCTTCTGCTGATGTATAGCATACTACATTTGTTTAAGCAGAGACAACGATAACAATAAATAAATCACAAATTAACTCTAGCGGTTTGAAAGAATGAAGGAACAAACATGCATTATCTGTTGTACTCAAAAGGCACATATTTCAGAGAATCAAAGTCAGAAGCCTAGCTTCACACACAGCAATGGAGTGCCGTATATTTTTAGGGGCTATCGGAGCCAGATGTCCTGCGTTAGACTACATGACTCTGACATTCACGACTCCCCTCCGAACACATTCACAGCCCATGCATAAGAAGTCTACACCATCCCATCGAGACACTGGAAAAGCACTGTCTGACAAACAGCAGCACAGAAGGCAGTTCCGCCTCCTCTCTGGGGAGGCACACGGGAACGAGGGGGAAGAACACACCCCCCCGCACCTCCAACCCCACGGTTACCTCTTGCTTGGCCCAACAGTTTCGCCGCTCACCTCCCAGAGCACCG